AATATTAATTTGAAATGCCTTCAGAATTCGTTCGGTTTTAACGGATCTAAACTGTTCAGATCAGGTTTTGACAAGACTGAAAACACATGTGAAATGTTGACATTTATAGCGACTCACGTGCAAATGAGTTTAGTCTCATCCAACGCAGTTAAGCCCTTTTGCTAACTCATTTAGCGGACAAAGTCATCCGCACTATAACAAATTATCATACCCTTATTATTTTGTGCTTGTATGAAATACGTATGCTTGAATATTGATTACGGCCTACGCATTTATTCACTCTGCTAGTCTTACTACTAACTGATTATTTGATTCGATTACTCATTCATTTCACATGGTATATATATGTCCATGTTATTCATACTCACTCACTCACACACTGTCGTCTCGCTCTTGCTCTGGCTCTCGCTCGCTTGCTTGCCTTTCGGCACAACTCTTCTACGCTTGTTTAACGCATCTGTACGTTTGGATATATGTGTGCGGTCTCGTAATAAACGTAATCAACACTTCGTATTTGCCTTCTGATTAATATACCGTTGGGACGTTATGTAGAACGGTTATCAAGACGAGCTGTATACGAAGTTTAAGGATTATATCGAATACCGACCACCACACATTCAAAGTTAGGTCAACTTATGTGAAGATACTGGTCGATGATTCCAAGAACAGGTTTAAATCTTTGCTCCGCTGTATTTGGGAGATCATAGAGAACAAATGAAATTCTTCTTCTTCCGCTTTAAGAGATTCTATGAAAAGCAGTTGGGATGTTGGTAAGCACAAAGTCTAATATAGATATTACTGTAAAATGGTATTCAGTGTTGGTATAAGGTCAGTCACATGCTTCTGAAATGTCAGATGTTATTTGAAAAAATATTTTTCCTCTTCAACATACCGCATCGAAACAGTGTGCAGTGCTATTGTTTCTCAGCCAAATGATCCTCGAAGCCAAGCACAGAAAACCTGAAAAGGTCCTCATTGAACATTTAACACGGATTAAGTGTTGGACATTGGAAAAAAAGGATCGGTATGGCGTGGCTTGGCATTGTGGACTTAGTCGTTTAGTGTAAGGCATTCCTGTTCCTATCAGGTATATTATTCAATCAGTTGCTGAGAATGTTCTTCAGAGGTGCTAGACGTTATATTGGTGATTGTCACACTAGGACGAGTCAGTATAGACAATGATGTAACGTCCATGTTAGATCCTATAGGTTTAGTCGTCACATCAAAACTACTCTTCAATTTTTGGATCAAGTCTATAGTTATAGCAACAGATATCTATGTACTTATATCGAACTAGACAATAACTCAACATGGTTAGTGATCCTGTCGATGATTATCTTCGAAACATAAAAGCTTCATTAAAGTGCACCACATTGCAAACTGTGAGTTTGTTCCTTTTTGGTATACTATATGTCATTGCCTTATTTTAATTTTTTATATATTGTGATACTTTTTCGTGTTTTTGGATATATATATATATATTTTTTTCCCTCATTCATTCTTGTACTTCGTATTTGACCATGACTGAACAGACACTCAAAGTACTTAAGCTTAAGACTATGTCCTCACCTTCGTTCCAACTCATGCCTTTCTGGCCAGACAACATAGAAGCCTGGTTTTGCTAGGCAGGCGCCGACTTCTCCGAGCACGGCGTGATCGAAACACGTGCACAATTTCTCGCAGTAGTCAAGGTACTGCCGCGCGAATTCAACAGGTACGTAAAACCTAGCATATGCACTAGTGATGTTTCTGAACCCTACGTAACACTTAAACGATCTGTCCTTAAACGCGGAGACCACACACTGTCGACTAAGGTTAGACCAATTCCTCAATAACATCGACCTCCAACGCGGTTCTGCGACAGACATGTTGCAAAGAATTAGAGGGGTTATAGGCCAAAGAACCTTCGCTGATGGCCTATTCAAACAACTTTTCTTATCCAAACTTCCTCAACGAGTGCAAGCTGTGCTGGTCTTGTTTCAAAACAACGCTTTACACGAGCTGGCTGCATCTGCCGACCGCATTCTAGAAATCACGAAACAGTGTTATGTCATACACTTACTCGTTATCCTAAATTTCGGTCACACACTTCGCGAAGAAGCACTTCACGTAGGCGATCTGTCTCTGGACCACGAGAAGCTCATAACCACGACTGGTGCTGGTATCATAACCAGTATGGAAAGTTTTCCAGAAATTTCAGAAAACCCTGCACTTTTCCCAACTCAAAACCGACCGTCATAAAAAACAACTCGGTAAACTTCCAAGCCGGCACGCGGTAATTGCAACCGTCGCCGGCGAACATAGCCGTCTGTTGTACGTCACAGATGTGACAACGAAAGTTCGCTACCTCGTCGACACTGGCGCAGAAGTTAACGTTGTTCTAACGACTGTCTTCACGAATCCGTTTTAGATCTACAGCCGGCAACCGGAAAGCTTATGACCACGTATGGTAAAAGGTACGTTTACCTTAACATGGATTTACCAAATCCATACACGAGATTTTTGTAGTTGCAGATGTTTCTATGCCAATCACTGGAATAGACCTCTTACTACACCACAATCTAATCATCGATACGCGCAAATGGGGGCTAGCGGACGGAAATACTTGTTTCCGACTGACTACGAAGATATGGCATTACTGTAAACATTCAGAAATGTCAAATGGGAACTGACTCAATAGATTTCCTAGGAAATACTATAGATACGCAAGGCATCCAACTCCTTGGAACTAAAGCGGTGGCAATTCTGGATTTCCCGGAACCGACCACCATTTAGCAATTACACACGTTCAACGGCCTTGTAAGTTGTCGACGGTCCATACCTAAGTGCGCGTCACTTATGAAACCGCCAACCGACCAACTTCGTGGAAATGAGAAATCCATCAGTCTAGACGACACTGCGCAAAAAGCATTCTTTACAATTAAGGAACATATCACTAAAGCGACAATGCTTGCACATCAGGACACTGAAGCACCCATTAGTAGCGCAGTAGACGCATCCGACCCAGCAATCGGACTAGTCTTACAACAATGGGTTAACTACTCATGGCAACCTTTGGCATGTTTCTCTAGACGGTTGCTAGACACCGGATCGAGGTATAGTACTTTCGGTAGGGAACTCCTAGCTACGAATTGTGTTGGACGACATTTTCAACATTTTATCGAAGGCCGTGAATCCACTCTTTACTGACCATAAACCTCTTACTTTCTCTTTAAGCCACTCCTCAGTCAAGTACTCACCACGTGAGTCTCGACAACTGCACTACATTTCGCAGTTTACTTCAGATATTCAACGCTCTTCTGGAGCAAACGATATAGTCGCGGACGCCTTGTCTCGAATAACTTTCCTGAACAGTTCCCAAGGAATCGACCTTAAACTCGTCCAGCCTAAAAAAGAAGAGATTGATCTAAAGCACGAGTTATCGTCAACAACCAACGTCAGCATCGGTCGCTCCAGAGCAGCTCATTTGGTAGGAAATCCTGTTCACGTCGATTTTACTTCCGTACCATCGAACGATTCGAATCCTACACTTACAATACGTCAAGCTACCGCTAATAAACACAATGATACTTCGGCAGTACCAGAAAATAAACTTAAAACAAAGCGTTCTGGAAGAAAAGTAAAGTTTTCAGAACATTTGAACGATTGTTGCACGTAAAGTACTAGTTTACATTTTATATCATCTCGATTTTTCTTTGTACTATATGTAGTATAAAAAAAACAATTTTAATATGCTTATATGTTTATTTTTAATTCCGAAAACAATCAGACAAAAAATCATATAGTAAAAATCCTTTTTTACGCTATTGCCTGTGCATGAGTTTTTTCACCCGATTTGTGTTTTTACGTGAGTACATGTCTATTTCGAAATGCACTTATATATTTTCTTCTTTTCCAGGACGGCTTCAAAGGAAGATAGAAAGAACGATGAAGTTTACGAGGAACCGAAACCTTCATTATACTTTTTCTTTTTTTGCTGTATTGTGCTTCATGGTCCTTTATGGTGAGGAAAGACTGCCAAACGCTGCTAAACCTAGCAGGCTATCAGAAGAATATTTGCCAACGACAAACTCTTCGGGTTTAAAATTCTGGCTGGCCAAGTCTTGGAGCCATCACTACCTCATTAGGGGGGAGTGATCTGCAGCGTTAAATAAATTCCCAAAATAAATAGCTCTGTAAGGTTTCGACATTAGATGCTGACCACATTAGTTTAATGGACTCACCTAGCTGAAGGCGCTCGGTGTGTATCCACCAAAGACCACTAGTGGGAACTCCGCGCACAACAACCCCGGCAATCGCTAGCCAGATTAGATCAGACGATCCTCGGTATAGTGATAGTCTATCAAATATATCTTCGAACCTCCCCACACCTGTCTTTTGATTTCACTTGGTGGGTACGATTAATATTAGGTGTTACTGGTTAAAGCGTTGACAAACTCTGAATACCTGTGGCATCTTCAGCAGATAATCAATAATTAGATGATGTCGTAGCCCTGAGTCAAAAGCTTATGCACTGATGTCAGCTATCACAAAAAACTCTATCCCTACGGCCTAATTGGCGCTAAACGGCGCACAATGCTCCTAGTACAACAAGACCCGACAGTAGCGCAAAGTGAACAGGCAACCTGAAATCCACACAGTACATGACTTATAGCCAATACCGTGACCAAACTATGGCAAACGATGAAAGTTCAATTTAGTTCCCCTGAAGCAGCAAACACAGTGAAACTAAGTATCTGACATGAACAAAGATATATTGTAGAGTCATCACATAAAAACAAAACATATGGAACAGAAATATGTCAGAAAGAGATGAGACAGCATTTTGTTAAGACCAAAAAAGTGATGTGTCTTATCGTTTTGTAACTGTAGCACTGTGGACCCTATGGTCACGGTCAATAGATTTACAGAGAGCTTGATGGATTCTTCAATCGTGTGTAATGTAGAAGAGAACCATAAGGCTGTCATTTGTATCAGTCACATGTGACACAACTTTTGAAATCCTTTGGTCCATACCTGTTAACAACCATGGTTGACTTATTGTCGCTGAACACAAGAGGCTTTTACTTTATACACAATTTATTGTACTGATACTATACAGATATTGGGCATTGGCGAAATTAGAAGCGCGAGTTATGGATCCTACTCTGAATTATCCTCAAATCTACAAAGCCCTTAGCATTGATGTTAAGAAGTACTCTTTGCTTATTATGTTATAAAATTCCGTTCAAGGAAATTAAGCGAGATAAATAAGTGTGACGAACAGGCTACTGACTATGGTAACAAAAATATATGTAATCGTTGATTTCTTCGTGCAACCAGCTAGTGTAGCCAAAAGTTTGGCCGTCCAGGAATGTCATGAGTTAGCGGCAGTCTTTTTACTGGGCAAAGCAAAGTAGGTTCACTATTCTCGTATATCACAATTAATTAACGGGCACATACTTATCTTTGCTTAGTCCCTCGGTCAAATATCTGAAAAGTTTTGCCTTCAGATAATAAAGCCTGACTATGATCCCTAATACTTTTCACGTCACATGAGACATTTGAGCCCCCATAAATTATCAAAACTGGAAGACAAGAAAAATTAGGGCACATCAGGTGCAAACTTATCAGTAAATAGTTTCTTTTAATGCGTCTAAGTCACTTCTGGTTATTCTATTTGACAATGGAAATAGGTTTAGCTTAGCCAGTCGAGTATCAGACGACAGCTCCACTCTGTAGACCGGAGGTTGTGTGACTGTCGTTGAAAGGCGCATCTCAGAAGTACATAAATCTTATGAGGGCTCATTATTCGAACACTTCCAGTCGAGTCAGAGCTTATAGCGAACTGTCATCTGATTTCACAACTTCAAATGGTGCCTGGCAAGGCTTTCCACTATCGCCATTTTCGTTAAATTACACCATAGACCTATTAGTGGGGATACGTTCCCGTTGTCTAAATTTCCAGGTATTGATCCACCAGGAGGTCCCCTTATCGACTTAGAATATGCAGATAACATAGTCCTGTTTTGTGAAGACGCTGATAAAATGCAAAGTCTTTTGGTAGCGCTGAACAACAATACCAGGATGTTTGGGATGCGTTCTAAATGCGAATTGTTGCTTCGGGACTGGCCTGTGTCAACACCTGAACTAAGGATCGAGATTGAAGTAGTCAAACACATAGACAACTCCACTAACCTTTAAGTTTGTTCAGTCCTAATGGGTTGGTGTCTGACGAAATCTTGGGACTAACTTCTGAGATCCCTAGTGGCGGTGCCCAAGTTGTTGACTGAGAACTGAACGTAATCTCATATGATTGGTCTTAATCTTTGTTCATTACAGATTGTATAAAAGTAAGTCGGTCCCCTTATAATAACCGCGTAATAATTAGTTTAACCAATATATATATATATATATATATATATATATATATATTCACAGGGTAAGTAAATTCTGTTTGTTTTCTTCAGATGTGAATTCGCTGCTAAAAATCTGACTTCTGAAGCATCAACATTATTTACAGCTGCAAAATATTTTATACAAGCTGATGATAAATTGGTTTCAACTAATTCTATTAATTATGAGGATAATTTAAATTGCGCGATTCTTTGTTTATTAAGAGCAGCAAGAGTAAACTATTTCATTACCTTCAACATATATGCATACAATAGATCTATGAATTGAATGAACTTTTCACATTAGCGACAAACGTTTACATTTATCTGGTGGATACGTTAATGGTAATTCCTTTTTTTTGTTTTGTTTTTCTTTCCAACTAAACTGGAAATAAATCAAGTAACCCATTGTAACTGTAATGGCTGACCCTGTGTCAAACTCGCATAGGCTATTCCAGTTTCTGGACCAGTCAGTCTGTTCGTTCTTCTCAAGCCACATTTTTACCTTCACTTATTAGTCCTGACTGTTTTTTATGTGGTCATATGTGTGCTAATTACTTACCCTACTCATTATGTTTCTGTAACTTATTTTTCTCTGACTATAAATATCGATTCACGCTTGGTTACATTGAGTTGACTCATATGCCATCCACCATCCGTTTCGTTTCACTCTGTTCTCTTTGTTCCCTTCGCTGCGTTTCGCTGATTATCTGTTCATATCAATGGGTGTAGGAAATATACTTACTTATACCTAATTGTCGTATTCAACTCACTTAATTCCGATGTTCATCAATGCGAGTTAAGTCAATAATTATAAACGAGGATTGGCGACATGTATATTTCGACAACAATCATTCGATAACGAGCACTCATCCAATGTAACTGAAGTCAGATTTCGGGCCACTAAATATCATTCGATGGAAATAGAGCAAGTTCAGCAAAGGAATTTTTCTTTTCGATGAAATCATTTACTTATACTGTATGTACGTTTGTTTTTTACAATTTGAAAAAATATGTCAGTCTAATGATAAATAAAAAGAATTATTATATTATAAAGTGATCCGAGCTTTCAAATGTCCAAAGCAGATTGCGTAATTGTAAGGAATGAGAATAATCTACCGGTCAGGAATATGATAAATAATTATTGATTTAAGAAAGATGTGGAAAACGTAAACGTCATTTAGACAATTGAATCATGAAAATTCTTGGTAATTGATCAATAATAACTGATCACGATTTAGAAAAGTGCTATTTATTATTATTTAAACAGATAAACATTGGTACAAGGAGGCACCAAATATGTTTACGCCACATAAATCAATCGATTTATGTGAGGGCTGTGATACTGTCCGGATGCCCAGAACAAAACAGGTGGTTTTCTTAGGGGGCCACATCCGGAACCTTCGACCTAAAGGTTTGATCCACAAGGCAGTGGAGCAACGTAAGGAGATGCAGTCCCATGGTAGCCGGTGACCAACAATAGGTTCATACACCATTTGTTCCTTCATGATACTGGAACCTATACGCACCGTTAGTTTAGAATCAGGGTTTTTCAACTCTCTTAGATGGATCTTTCATATCCACCAACCCAGTTAAAGCGCCGGACATTCGCTTCTCGTTCTCTCAATTTCGTAAACAACATCCGTGATGCGAGAAGACAGTGAGTAGGTCTTCCCTGGTAGTAGTTGTATGCATGTGGCCATGTGAGAGCATTTCGAGAAGTAGAGCTGACTCTCCTCACTCGGCCGTACCAAGGCATTTGAGGGTTTAAAAGTATTAAATAATAGTAGAAATAATAATAAACTCAAAACATACTGGAAAAAGATATTAGGGTAATGAAAGGATGGAAAATTACACGTATTACTTTTTTGCATACATAGTTCAGGCTAGAAATGATAAATTAATTGCAAACATTTTGACAGTGCATAATTTCATTTTACTGTGTAGATTATTTTGAAGGACCATTCATTTGAATTGACATGGTCTAAGTGTTCTTGTATTGATCTACTGACTATTTCATATTTCCCTTCTTCTTATAAACTCACGTATAATTTATTAAATAAGTGGTAAAACTATAATTCATGGACGACCTTTAAGCGACCCTAAAATGATCTTAGAATTTCGAACCACTGCTTACTAAATTTAAATGAGAGTTATTATATTAGTGTAAAGAATAAGGATTAAGATTTACAGTTGAATGTTAAAGTTAGGAATAAGATTTATGATTTTCATCACGAATTGTACATCAGCTATAATACCGCTAACTATGGTATTCAATCAAATGAGTGGATTTGTTATTTCAAATGTGATTGGTTTGTTCATAAATGATAATCTCTCCATATAACTACAAAGACGATTATACAGTTTACAGTTTTACAGAAAGAAGTTTTTCTTGATTGAACTATCATTGTTTGTTTGTTTTTTTCTATTTTTTTTTTGTTTCCTTCATAGAGACGATATAAATTTCATCAATCTATACCTTATATAAAACGATCTATAGAAATTGTATCCAAAGATATACTAATAAGTTTAGAATTATATAAACGTTTAAGTTATTGTCAATTATATATACGTAAGTTATCTTATTATATATATATATGTATAAATTATGTATTCTCTTTAATTTGAATAGATGATTGGCCTGGTGCATTGTATACTTTTATATGTATACAAAATTTAACAAAAAAAGAATTGAGTAAGTTTATATATATAATTTCCTATTCAATCTCAATATATCTATATTATTAGCATTGAATTCATTTGATCTATATATACAATATTGGAGTATATCTGAAATATTTCGAGTATTACTTATACTTCTATGTATGGTATGTTCCATTTCAGTTATGATTTCTTCTTTATTACTCAATGAATAATAATAATAATAATCATTATTGATAGCCTTCCTATAGATTACATAATCTTGATTCGTCGGATTATTCTTTAAAACAATATGATATTATTGTAACTGATGAAAAAGGTGAAGATTTATTCAAATTATCTACATTGAATTCTGTTTATATGGATAATAATTTATTTATTCTATTACAGTCTTTTGTGGTAAGTCAATTAATACTATATATATATATATATATATATATATATATATATATATATATATATATATATATATATATATATATATATATATATACTATTCATTAATATGAATGTTTTAATAATAATAATAAAAATAATTATTGACAATTTTTAGTATGAGGCTTTGTAAACATTGTAGTATTTTCGCAGTCAGTCAGCTACAACGTAGCACTAGGCACATATATGCATCGATCCAAGTTGCCATACCGCATTAGCACAGCAAGATGAACACCGGATTCATAGAAGTAGTTCATTCAATAGTGGTAATCTATAAAAGAAAGATTGCATATAAGGATGGATATAGTACAGGAAGAAAGTTTAATGGAAGACATAGAGTGTATACACTGACGCCATTGTGATCGATTCTGAGCCATGTCACCAAGAGTCTCCAACTATTGGTTATGATAGTCACGTGGACCTCAATCAGTTAGTCTGCATCTACCAACATGGCTCATACCAGAAGTTAGTGGCTTTGTGGACTGATGCCACGTTTTGGCTGGTTTGGCCGCCCCTAACTTTCTTCCAACTATTCCCAACACTAGTCAGCATTGAGCGTCGTGGTACTCGGTGTTCAGGCATACGTAACACGTGACCCAACCATCTCAGTCGATGAAGATTTATAACTTCATCAACTGATTTACCATCATCGTTCCCTAATACCCTGAGTTTGACCTCACTATTACTTACCCGGTAATTCTAACACATGCTAGCAATATTTCTAAGATATTTTTGTAATCAAATACTAGTAACTTACGAGTATCCTCTACTCTTAATGGTCATGTTTCCCAGACGTCAAATAGAACACAACGAACTGCCACGCAGTATACTCGTCCTTTATTTGATAGACGGATATCTCGCCTTCACCATATGTCACGTAAATTGACAAACGCCAAACGACCTTTACTGAATTGATGCAGAGATTTCGTCAGACACAAACCCATTAGGGTTGATCAGACTTCCAAGATAAGTGAAGTTGTCGACGCGTTCGACTACTTCAATCTCGATCCTTAGTTCAGGTGTTGACGCAGACCAGTCCTGAAGCAACAACTTGCATTAAGAGGGAAAGAAGCGCATTCCAAACATTCTGTTATTGTTGTTCAGTGCTACCAAAAGACTGCATTTTATCAGCGTCTTCACCAAACAGGACTATTTCATCTGCGTATTCTAAGTCGATAATTGAAAGCCATAACCAGTGGAGTTCAGTCTGTGTCGGGTGGAGACTGTTATCTACCTCAGATAATGAATGAAAGGTTGCGAAATATCATGGATCAATTGAAGTTAGACATTGACATTATTGGATACTGGCTCAATGGTTTGAAGTTTAAATGTTCACGCGTGAGACTGAAGGTCCTGTGTTTGAGTCTAGCATGCGAGATCGTGGGTGTGCACTTCTGAGGAGTCACATACTAGGTCGAAATAGCATTCCAGGGATTTCAGATTTTCAATGGTGGTCTAGCTTAGATTGACTCATTAGTTCAACTGTGGAAATGTTGACATTTTTTAAAATTCACATAAAACCTGATACTATCGGGCACTAGAAGTAGAAAACACTGCAAAAGTAAGAATGGATATCGTCATGTTAGGATAAAAATAGGTAATGGGAATGCAATCAAAACAACTATAGAATGTAATGATTGATAAAGTGTGGATAAAATACTATTCTTTCAGTTAAATAAATTCATCTATATTTTAAGGAGAGTGTAAGTGAAAACATTGACAGGATCATCATTGCCCTCTATTCTCTGTCATTTCTAATAACATCTCAAGCCGATGAGTTGCACCATCTCTAGGACATCAATCAAGAAGTCGTAAGATAACCCAACAGACGCCAATCATATACTTTTTTCGAGTCACGATATTATCATAAACCGAACACTTGTCTGCTTTTTTCATCTAGTTCCAGTGCTATTGTCACTTACGAAAGAATTCTATTATTAACTAGTAAATGAGACTGTAATTTCACTTTCCCTGTTATCTTTCGTATTATTGGTAAATATCTACTTTTTTATTATCTTAACATTTTGACATTCAGTAGTACAATGAACAAAGTTTAAAAAACAACTCTCATAGGTTATAGTGTTTTTCTCAACTACTTAGTTGATACCTTTACAACAACCGTACTCAATGGTTGCAGACTTTAAACAATAAGACTTAGGATTAGTTACATGGGCTTAGGTTCATTTACTATTTATCCCTCCTCTAGATATTTAGTTAGTGTTTTTTCTGTACATAATAAATTTTGGATGCTTCACTTTTTTGTTCAAGTATTGTCGTTACTATCCAAAAAGTTTACATCAGTATAATTCTAGATTGTTACTTTTTCATGCCAATTAAACATCACAAAGCTAAATTGAAAACCTTCTATCGTTGATCAGTCCTCTTATTGGCTGTTCACATTCAATTCGATCACTCAATAAATGGATTTAATGTTCATTCCTCAAAATCATGCAAATACTATTTATAGAGTGCTATATGCCCATTCTATTGCTTTTCTTCAACGTCTGAAAAATCTATTTTAAAAATCAGTCTTCTCTTCTTTATTAAATATGGTTGTGTCAAAGTTGAAAAGTCGTTTTCTATTAACTGTTCAATCTACTTAATCCCTTTAGATCAAGTGTTTTTTTTCTTGTTAAAACCTTCCTGACCATATTCTTCTCTAGTACAATAAATCACACTTGTAAATTCTAATATAAACTTTAGCGAAAAGAAGTCTCTATGTTGGTAAATGAAAGTGTTATAATGAGTCCTGGTACGGCCAAGGGTGGGGAGAGTCAACTCTCCCTCTCCGAATACTCTCACATAGCCACGTGCATACAACCAATACCAGGGCAGTCTTACTCAATGTCTTCTCGCATCACGGATGTTGTTTACGAAATTGAGAGAACGAGAAGTGAATGTCCGGCGCTTTAACCGGGTTGGTGGATATGAAAGATCCATCTAAGAGAGTTGGAAAACTCTGATTCTTAACCAATAGTGTATATGGGCTCCAGTATCACGAAGGAACAAATGGCGTATGAACCAATCGTTGGTAACCGGCTACCATGGGACTGCATCTCCTTACGTTGTTCCACTGCCTTGTGAATCAAACCTTGAGGTCGAAGGTTCCGGGTGTAGTCCCGTAAGAAAACCACCTGTTTTGTTCTGGGCATCCGGACAGTATCACAGCCCACACACATATCAAGTGATTTTTGTGGCGCATATGTGTTCGATGCCGCTTTGTACCAATATTTATGTGTTCAAATAAATAAATAAATTGGTCATATAAATTTTAGCCACTCAATTGAAGATTCGAATTTCTCGTCATCTACTTCCGTCTAGACAACCAGATACTATGCGTCATTAATTCACTGTGACTCAAAACCGGGTTAACGAATCCGTACATAATAATGAATTAAGGATGATAATAATCGTAAAATAATACATAATTTATTTCAATTTTCTTTATTGTTTCTATTTTGTTCTCTCTGTTAGTTGGCACATCAATCAAAAGATATTTTAGAATTAGAATCACTTTCAGTTATGCTTCAATCATTTGTAAATTTAGAACAACGTGAATTAATTAGTTTAATTCTTCGTGAAATAATAGTGGTTACATCGTGAAGAAAAACAAAATAAATGGGTTTTTCTCTGTCAATATATTCAAATGAAACAAACTTCTCTGTGTCCTACTTTGTGATCTTCCAACCAGAAAACTTAACGGTTGTCAAGTTCTAGCAAGCTTACTTCCTTGTTCTTCTAATATGTATATGTGATATTTTTCTGCTTTACTTCAATAAAGTTGAATTATCTCTGTAAATTATTTTTCATAAAATATGTTTTTCAACAGAATTTAAACTTTTCTTTCGATCTCCGGTATAGGAGATGTCATAAAGATTGATGATTTTTCAATTCATGTCACGTACTGATCTCAGCTAGATAATCAGAAAGCACTGAATAGCTGTTTCGTCACAGTATAAGACTTCTCAATGGTTCACATTTACAACTATTAGCGTTAACAGTATAGGGTTGTAGAGACTGTTGATTTTCATTAAAATTATGAGTCGAGTAATGTTATGCTTGTCGGTAATGTGGAAGTACTGGATGGCCGTTTCGTCGTAGTATAGGGCTTCTCAGCAGTGCGTATCCACGACCGTGTATGCGGCGACCAAACTTGAGACCTTCGGTCACGCTCGCGAACTCTCGACATTTTGACTACTCAGCGCACTGTTGAGGAGTTCCTTGCTAAAATGAAACGGTCGTTCAGTGTTTCCAGGCTTTTACTGATGGTATAATAGTTAGATTGGGAAACTTTTGGTAACTTTTTGTTTCCTTCTCGAATTGCAACCGTCTGGCTTAATTTAAAATTTGTGTTGACTTCCTCTTTTCACTGATGACAGTATACATTTCTGAATTAGCCCACTTTTTCTTGAGATCCCGGTATTTCCTCATCTAGAAGCTGTGTTTTCTCTAAATAACCCTTCTTAAGTTAGAGCAGATGGATAATTCAACTATTATTTTAAGAAAAGCATAGGCCAGTCTCAAAAAACTTATTCAACAAAATTATAGGTCCTGTTGACAGAATGTTCAAGATTTGCTCTTCATTAGTGATTTACACCTCTGAAGTACTAAAAAGCCTTAAGTCACTTTATTCTTGGTATGAGCCGCGTCTAAAGTATGGGGATTAGTGATACTACTCGGTTGTTCAAACTGTAGTAGGTTTAGTGGGATTAAAAATTATTGGTTGGAGGTCGAAGTCTCTAACAGCCAAACCACCTTTCACAAGCAAACAAGAAGGATATTAATAAAGAAAAGGCAAATGAATAAAGTGTATAAACATTATCAAAATCTAAAACAAAATGGAACTCGTCACCATACATCAACTTCCTTGATTAAGAGCAAGTATTTGACAGTGCGGATAGGAGAACATTATGAAAACTTCTTCGGCACCTGAGAAAATCGTCAACATCATACCCAAATGATGCGACGTACTACCGTGCAATGTTATGCGTGGAGGACAACTCATATGCATTCCAAGTGAGGACCGGAGACAGATAAGGCTGCCTACACCTCCCCCTCCTCTTTCTTCTGGTGGTTGACTGGATTACGAAGACCTCCACATCTGAGGGAAAGCACGGGATACAATGGACACCTGAGAATCAATGAGATTTGGACTTCGTAGATGACCTGAACCTTCTATTCCATATACACGGACAAATGTACATAAAGACAACTAGTGTAGCAATAGCCTCTGCATCAGTAGGCATCAACATTTTGACAACAGATTGTTGTGTTAATTGATCGTTCAGTAATTTTAATCGATAGCATGTTTATCCGGTTCCTCACATTGATGGAATTTAATCACTGATCAAGTTGCAATATCACCAGTCTAAGTGACTCAATATCGTAATGCATTACCAGCGACATATTCTTTACATAGGAAACAATAAACTATATTTTAAAGACCTGATGTTATCTAGGAGTGAATATTTGGAAAACATTATACTTTCAGGGCTGTTATACGCGGGAGTTATTATATCTGCCTTGTTCCTTATTAATATATAACTTAATGATACTACCAGTTAGAGAACAGTAAATTACAGACCAGACCAATGTCGCGTATACCCGTACGAACAGTCTAGAGTCTTTATTGGTCCTGCTTCCTGTCTAGCCCGGCCTGTTAAGTCCAGAACACCAATCTCAGCCTCTGCGATATAAATCATGTATTTCAAACATACTGGGTTTATAAACAAACCACATCGTACCATAAAGCAGATAATAACATTTGTACCAAGATCTAGCCAAAAGTGGCTGTGAATGTGGGAGATAGTAATTGATAGACTGGGATTAACTCAAGAATGGTAAATCGTATAATAGTTCATAGGTCAAAATAAAGCTTGTAATAAGAACACGGATATGAATAGTTTAGTTGATTAATCTATGTATGGTATTGGTCCATAAATGGTTTCCAAAAGCTACCATTCATAATTCTCGACGGGATAAACCAGTGTGTTTTGCCGTTTTTCAAATTATCCTTGATCTATGGTATATCAGTCCAATCAGAAACTGGCAAATGATAAGTACTTATGTTTGGTCAAGAAATACCTCTCATTTCTAAGGGATATAACATAAACTTGTAGTGTGGTGTCGAGTCGCGGTTGACTATGATCACCACTACAGGAAGACTACGTGCCAGTTGACCGATAAGATCCCCCGTAAGCCAAATATCAGAAGGCAATTGATGACTGTAGTCGAAATGTATTTGTTGGCGATCTCGTGGTATCGAAAGAATACCGAGATCGTGCCAGGTTACAAGTGTGGTTACTGAGCATAACCGAATCCGTGCAAGGTAACAAGCAACGGAAGGAGGTATGTATTTTGGTACAGTACACACAAATGATGGACTGTTTATGTCTATGGAAACTACAGTTAAGCAAACAACAACAGTAAAACAATCACTTGTACGATTGGTTATAATAATAATTGTTTCCGTTAAGCCAATCGCGTTCTCTTGATAAAAGTAGGTCACTACAAACTAATGAGGCGAGACAATAATTTAGAGACGAACCAATCAAATATAAGATGGCGAGTCACGAATTTTGGCGCGAAATTTATTCATACATTTGTCTATATAACTGATGTCAGTTCGTGATAAAAATCCTAAATCTAATTTTTAATCCTAACTATCAACTGTAATTGAGAATTCTAACTGCTTTATAACTCTCATTTAGTCCTAATCAGTAGGTGATCATTCTCAAGGTCACTTCAGTATCACTCAAAGGTCATCCATTAATTATAGTTTCACCATTAATGATACGTAACTTTTCTTAAGGCTATTCACAATTGACTGATCACTGGGTGGTGATCAATGTCATGTGTGTCAAGTCCATCTTAGTGCAGATCGAATACTATCGACCAAGTTGTAATATGACCACTGATCTAGGTGACTCGACATTGCGCGCACTATGTTGAGATAGAATGGTGTTTAAAGGTAGTCAAAGGGAAACTCTTGACCTATGTGTCGTGTTATTTTGGCACTCATCAGCAAGGTGTACCTGAAATCTTTAGGGAACTGATGGTTTCGATCTTGTCTCAGCTAGCTTCACAGTCGATAGGATCCAATCTGGACTAAATAAGGACTTGACCCACATGACATTGATTACCACCCAGTGATCAATCAAAGGTGAATACATCTCAATCCTACAGGAGGACGATGGCGTCCCGGATAGTCTAGTGGTAACGTATTCTTAAGAGTATATATATATATATATATATATATATATATATATATATATATATATATATATATATATATATATATATATATATATATATGAATGAGTAGACATTCATATGATTCAGTTCACTTAAGTAAACTTCCATTCTCACTTTCCATACTGTTCTATTAAATAAGTAGATTTACTTATAAGTAACATGTATACATAATACTTCCTTACAAAGTTATCACAACTTACATAGAAACAAACAATTATATTATTTAATTGTTTAGTTTATTTATATAATACATTAGTGTTTAATAACAATTTATGAATATCATTAAAGGCGTTATCATCACTTACAAAATATAGTTAGAAACTATTAGTTATCTAATGAAATCAATGAAAGGGATAGATACTCCTGTTATGTAAACCTGTTAGATGAATGAATGAATGTAGTTTAAAACAACGATAATGTACATCAGATAAATGTTACTTTATCAAATTGTCTATTTCAATTATAAATGTCTTGTAACAATTAGAATATTCATCTTATGATACTACTGATATATATCAGAATGAAAATTAAAGGAAATAGTAACTCCCTAAGTTAATTTTTTTTAAAAAACATTATTATTATATAATTACTTAGTAATTGAATTACTAAATAATTATATATTCTGTATATGAATACTTACTTAATTAAGCCAGTTACTCCTTGTGGAGGAGCATAGGCCGTTCACTAGAATACTCCATTCAATTCTGTCCTCAACAATCTTTTCCAGCTCTTCCCAATTGTTATTCATCCTTGTCATATCTGCTTCTAATTCTCGACGTAATGTGTGTTTTGACCTTCCTCTTTTCCGCTTCCATTCAGGATTCCAAGTTAGCGATTGTCTCGTGATGTAGTTTGGTGATTTGCGTAATGTATGTCCTATTCATTTCCATTGTGTATTCCTAATTTCCTCTTCAGTTGGAAGTTGATTTGTTCTCTCACACAGTAGGCTGTTACTGATGGTATCCGGCCAATGGATGTTGAGTATTTTGCAAAGACAATTATTTATAAATACTTGTACCTTCTTGATGGTGGTTGTTGTAGTTCTCCAAGTTTCAGCTCCATACAGTAGAACTGACTGTCTTAACATTTATATTGAAGATTGTGACTTTGATATTGGTTGAAAATTGTTTTGAGTTCCATATGTTCTTCAATTGTAGGAATGCGGTCCTTGCTTTGCCAATCCTAGCCTTAACGTCTGCATCCGATCCTCCTTGTTCATCAATGTTGCTTATTAGGTACGTGAAAGATCGCACGTCTTCCACAGCTTCTCCATCAGATGTGATTGGGTTGGTGTTCTCCGTGTTGTATTTGAGGATCTTGCTTTTTTTCTCTATGTTCGCAGAGGCCGTTGCTACACTATTTGTCTTCATCTGCATTTGTTCGTGTGTATGGGATAGAAGGACTAGGTCATCTTTATATGAATTGACTAAGAACAAAGATTTTAATACAATAGTATAAACTCATTTTTTGTTCAACAATCGTCAGTTGCTTACAACTTGAAATTTACTGAAGATGTTGCTATCAGGTAACAAAAACGTGATTTATGTGTTTATAAAAAGATGATTATTAATCTTTCT